GGGATGGATCCCAACTTTTCTCCTCCTTTCATCTTCAGCTAAAGCAAACCAAAAAAATCTACCGAACAATATAAATCAATAAGCCAGCAAAGAGTATCACGAGATGAACAACAACGTCCAAACTAACTAATTAAAAAGGAGAAAAACCGAACAAGAGATAGTTCGAATTTCTGAATTACCCTCTTTAATTTATCAGAGATCGTGATCGGAAGAGAAAGTGTGAGAGTTAGGGTTTTGGGTAATGGAAAAATGGGAAGCAAATTCGGCGTTAAGAAGTTTTTATAGAGTTATTTTTGTGGCGTGGGAGTTAAGTTGTAAAGTTTAAACCTAGGAGACAACCTATATATTATTATGATATAATTATCTAAAGCTCGTTTGTTTAGTACTTTAGTCGACGTAACTTGAGTTATAAGTTTCGTGTTTCGAACTAAGAAAATCGATTTTCTTCATGGATCAAGTCTTCAAGAGACTTGTCCAGTTGTCCCGTCCACACCTCATACAGACCAAACTGAAAATCGATATTGATCATTACACTTCTTCGTTCTGTTCGTTTGTTTCTTACTGTGATTTATTTTTGGGCTCGTCTGATAGATTTTGTTCGTACAGTCGTTTATTGTAAAATTAAAACTTAGCATAATGATACCGATAGTTAACAATGTTGTAAGAGAATCGCTCTGTTTTGAAAAGAAAAAAACACATGATCAGAAGCAAAAAGAAATCAGCATACACAGAGACAAGATTCATTGGCTCTTTGATCACAACATTGATTTATCTCTTCGACTCACTTTATTTCTCATCTATGTTGGCGGCGTCTTCTTCGGTCTGTCTTCATATTCCCTTCTGTCTCTTTCATTTCTCTCTCTGTGTTTATTCCTCCCTACTCACACACCATCATCATACCTACTCTCCATGTCCCTTTCTCTTACCTCTTCACAGATGAGGCAGAGATGCTTGACTTGAGCAGGGTTGCATCGTTGACGTTAAGATCCTCTACATGGTCTACAAAGGCGTAAACTCTACTACGATTCTCAAGCGGTTCAAGGTTAGCTCCAAAACCTTGGATTTCGACAGTTTGGAGAGTGTTCCTTTCTGGACTGAAGTAGAAAACATAATAGGGTTTCAATGCACAAATAAAGTTCGTCGACAAAACAATTTCACCTGTAGTTGTCACTCCAACAACGATTAAATCATGGAAATTAACGACTTCATCATTCGTCTTAGGCAGAGTGTAGGCATGTTCCGACCATTCCTGCTTCTCAACATCCTCTAGAACACAAAGACGCAACTCAAGGACACTCAACATCCTCTAGAACACAAAGACGCAACTCAAGGACACGGCCATCGCCATTATGCTTGCAATCAATCCCACCTAATTTACCCTTATAGTTTATCAACTTGCTAGTCCTAGAATCAAACGATTTTCCGTTAATAACCTTAAAAAAATTCTCAGATCTAACATCAAAGCAAACTATCGAAATCGCACTAACGTAGTTGTAAATTAAGTAATACAAAACCCCGTTGATGCATATCTCGTTAAAGGAAATCTCATAGGTGAAGGGACATTGGATCTTCCTCCACTTCATATCTCCAGTTCCTAATGTCAAAATTCTAATATCCTTCCTTTCACCACGATATGGATGAGGTATGGACAATACTTTGAATTGCTTGTCAATCGGATCAAACCCTAAAAATCTTCTCGACAAGTTGTCCATTCTCAGTTCAGGTAAGTTCGCAGACTGTCCCGTGAGAGGGTTACGTATCACACCCAATGACTCTTCTGATGAGATCCATCCAGAAGGGCAAATATTTATCAAACCAGAGGCATAGCGATAAGTGTGTTCACTCATCTTTCCAGGGAACTTGGTATGAAAATCGGCCGTGGCTACAAGAGAAGACTTCCCATATGGATTATGAGGCTGAGGCAACGAGTACAAGCTCCACACACCGGATTGTTCGACCACTAGTAAGAGACGTGGACGAGCCCGTGACCTGGTCAAGAACAACTCGGTGAAATATGGATGGCGAAGTTCCCACGCCCATTGCTTCGAGAGGGTGCGAAACCTAGCAATTGACTTTGAAGGCAGTCTCAAGAATATCTCGATAACCAGATCAGTTGGGATGGGTCCCATGTTTTCTCCTCCTTTCATCTTCAGCTACAGCAAAATAATCCGTCCAAAGGACAAACCAAAACTACTTCCGAACGATGTAAAAAGGAACAGTATAATCAATAAGCTAGCAAAGAGTATCAAGGGATGAAGACCAACTCTGAAACCAACCAAAATAGAGAGAAAAATCGAACAAGTGATCACCTTCTGGAATTTCTAAACGAAACCTGATCGCTGGAAATTTTTGACCTTTTCTCTTAATTTATCAGAGATCGTGATCAAAATTTAGGAAGAAACTGGAAGTTAGGGTTTCGGGTAGGTAATGGAAATATGGGAAGCAAATTGGGTGTTAAGAAATTTATTTATTTTCGCAACGTAGGATTGAAGTTCTAATTATTAAAGACTTTTTCGGCCAAAGCCCTAACTTCCTCTCTACTCTACCGATGTTGTAAATACATTATATCTATTTCCGCAGAAAATTGATTTTCTTTGGCGCCACCTCAACTTACTCTTTACTTTACTGATGTCGAAAGTCTCTGAAAATAGGTTTTCAATACAATAGTCTGAAGCCTTTTCTTTGGCGCCACCTTTAACTTTCAAGTAGAATCAAAGTATATAAAAAGTTTTTACAAAGTAAATTATTAATATTGGTGGTCTAGTGGTGTTTCTGGTATAACACAAAAGAATGAAACACTTCAACAAACACAAAAGCAAACATAATCTTCCTTGGCTTTACCGAGAAGAGTTTGAAACAAATGCTTGTTCAAGTAATTAAGAGACTGGCACAATGTAACTTCTGGTTCTCTCTCCATGCAAGAAACCCTTTTCGTGCTAAAGTTTCTTTCCTCGTTCCTGATACAGAGCCACCAAGAAACATCTTACTAGGTGGAGCAGAGTTGTAGAGGTTAACATCTGTATGACATCTTCCCGATGATATACATTTTTCTTTCTTTTTTTCTTAAATAAACAGCATCAATATGTATACATATAAACCGTTTTGTATCAATCTAGAACTGAAGTGAGATGGAATTACGAAAACGATAAAAACTTGGTTAATCAAAAAGAGTTAAAAATATAATAAAGGTACATAGATCTCTGAAAAGTTTTGTATGTTATCATTGCACTACCGAAGCTGGACTTAATTCTCTCACTGGCATCTTCTTCTTCTACGGTCTTTATCTTCCCTATTGTCTCTTTCTTTTACCTCTCTGTGTTTCCTCCTCCCTACTCACACCATCATCATACATCATGTCCCTGTCCCTTTCTGTTACCTCTTCCTGGTGTTGTGGTTTTCTCTTAACTCTTCATAGATGAGGCAGAGATGCTTGACTTGAGCAGGGTTGCATCGTTAAGATTAAGATCCTCTACATGGTCTACAAAGGCGTAAACTGTACTAGGATTCTCAAGCGGTTCAAGGTTAGCTCCAAAACCTTGGATTTGGACAGCTTGGAGAGTGTTCTTTTCTGGACTGAAGTAGAAAACATAAAACGGTTGGGATGTACAAGTAAATTCCATCGACAAAACAATTTCACCTGTAGCAGTCACTCCAGCAACGTATAAATCGGAGAGATTAGCGACTTTAGCATTCGTCTCAGGCAAAGTGTAGACATGTTCGGACCAATCCTGTTTCTGGACATCCTCTAGAACACAAAGACGCAACTCAAGGACACGGCCATCGTCATCATGCTTGCAGTCAATCCCACCTAATTTACCCTTATAGTTTATCAACTTGCTAGTCCCAGAATCAAACGATTTTCTGTTAATAACCTTAAAAAAATTCTCAGACCTAACATCAAAGCAAACTATCGCAGCACTAAAGTAGCTGTAAACTAAGTAATACAAAACCCCATTGATGCATATTGCTTTATTGGAAAGCAATTCATAGGTGAAGGGACATTGTATCTTCCTCCACTTTATATTTCCAGTTTCTAATGTCAGAATTCTAATATCCTTCCTTCCACCACGATATGGATGAGATATGGCCAATACTTTGTATTGCTTGTCAATCGGATCAAACCCTAAAAGTCTTCTCAACACGTGGTCTGTTCTCAGTTCAGGTAAATTCCCAGACTGTCCCGTGATAGGGTTACATATCACACCCAATGACCTTGTTGATGAGATCCATCTAGAAGGGCAAATATCTATCAAACCAGAGGCATAGCGACAAGTGTGTTCATGCATCTTTCCAGGGAACTTGATATGAAAATCGGCCGTGGCTACAAGAGAAGACTTCACATATGGATTATGAGGCTGAGGCAACGAGTACAAGCTCCACACATCGGATTGTTCGACCGCTAGTAGGAGACGTGGACGAGCTCGTGACCTGGTCAGGAACAACTCGGTGAAATATGGACGGCGAAGTTCCCACGCCCATAGCTTCGAGAGGCTACGAAACCTAGCAATTGACTTTGAAGGCAGTCTCAAGAATATCTCGATAACCAGATCAGTCGGGATGGGTCCCATGTTTTCTCCTCCTTTCATCTTCAGCTACAGCAAAATAATCCGTCCAAAGGACAAACAGAAACAACTTCCGAACGATGTAAAAAGGAACAGTATAATCAGTAACTGATCGAAATTTTTTTGGTTTGTTTCAAAGATCGTGATCGAAATTTCGGAAGAGAAACTGGAAGTTAGGGTTTCGGGTAGTGGAAATACGGGAAGCAAATTGAGCGTTCTGAAAATTATATATTTATAGATGACAAAAAAAAATTTATATATTTATATTTATTTTCGTGACGTGGAACTTATCGACGTATTGGGTTTTTTTTAGGGTGCATTTTCAAAAAGGGGTTTATAATTTCAGTTGGTGAAAAATTACTGGTAAAAATTCACATGATTTCTACTGCTAAATAAAACGACACGCACTAGTATAAAACTAGATTGAAACGGCACGGTGTTCTCTGATAATGCCCTTTTCAACACTAATAAGACTTGTGCCGACAAAAACCTCCGACTCCCCGCTCCGCCGATTACACCGTCGGACTTTGGTTTCTACGAAATGGCATCACGGGTCTTGTTCTCGAGCCAATTCATTTTCCCGGCGAATCCGCCGCGGGAAACCTCGATTTCTCCCTTCTCGCCTTCCCGGGATGTTCTCTCCTTCTCCTTTCAAAGTCCTGTAGACCGATTTGTTGCGATGAGGACCGGACCGCTTGTAAGAGCTGCTTCGTTTGCTCCAACGGCAGCGGAGGTCGATGCTTCAAGAGACGAACCATGGAGTAGGAAGAAGCTTGCCGTGTTTGTGTCGGGAGGTGGTTCGAATTTCAAGAAGATTCATGAAGGATGTAGTAGTGGTTTAGTTAAAGGAGATGTTGTTTTGCTGGTCACTAACAAGAAAGGTATTGCCTTTCTTCTTCTTCGTAATTGATTTTTGGTAACTTTTAGTGCCCTCGTTGTTTGAATCTTTGTTGAATTGATGATTGAAGTCTATTTCTGATTGAGTTTTCGATTTGTGCTTGTTATGGAACACTACAAATTCTTGTTTATGTTCATCATTTCCAGATTGTGGAGGTGCTGAGTTTGCAAGAAGTAACGGAATTCCTGTTTTAGTATTCCCAAAACAGCAACGAGAATCATCTGATGGACTCTCTCCTAAAGAGCTCGTTGATGTTCTTAACAGATATTCTGTAGACTTTGTTCTTCTAGCTGGATACTTGAAGCTTATACCGGTCGAGCTAGTCCAAGCATTTCCTAAACGGATTCTGAATATCCATCCTGCGCTTCTTCCGGCTTTTGGAGGCAAAGGGCTTTATGGTATGAGAGTTCATAAAGCTGTTCTTGCATCAGGAGCTAGGTAATGCCACAAGCTCATACATTTGTTATCTCTTGTGCGCAAGGCAAATGTTCAAAGGGTTTTGTTCCTTCCGTAGGTATTCAGGTCCGACGATTCACTTTGTCGATGAGGAGTACGACACAGGGCGGATACTTGCTCAGAGCGCGGTACGAGTGATTGCTAATGATACACCAGAGGAATTAGCTCAAAGGGTGCTTCATGAGGTACTTACTACTAAATTGAGCATTATTACATTTCACAGTTCAGAAGTTTTCATTTGTGCTTTCCTTTGTGCTCAGGAACACAAACTCTATGTCGAAGTTGTAGCTGCGATTTGCGAAGAGCGGATTCAATGGAGAGAAGACGGTGTCCCTCTCATCCAAAGTAAAGAAAACCCTCATGAGTATTATTAGATCCTCCACAAATGAGACCTCAGATTAGTTCTGTATTTTCATAAACGCAGTGATTCAACCAAGTTTTATAGTCTTGAGGCTGTAGAACAAGTTTTTGCCCATAGTGTAGATTGAGAAATGTTTCTGAAGCTAAGTTTCCGTTTTGGTTTGGGTCAGAATCACGCAAAGGAGATGAGATTAGAGCCAAAAAGGCAAATTTTTGTTTTATTACCGTGATCTTTGATTTCCATCTATAAGAATCAAAAATCTCCCCAAATCCAAATTACAGATTCTAGCTTTATAAGAAAAAAGGGTTTTTGATTTGTTCCTACAAGAAAACGATTGTTGTGTCGGCTCTTAAGAAGGAGCGCCGAGATAGAATGCGAGGCGAAGAATGTCACTGAAGATTCCACCGGCTGTGACTTGAGCACCAGCGCCAGGTCCACGAACAATCAGAGGCTGTTCTTTGTACCGTGTCGTTGTGAAGGCGATGATGTTATCAGCGCCTGAGAGCTGAGCAAACGGATGATCTTTCTTGTACCGTTTCAACTCCACGGTTCCCTTTTTCTCCACCGCGTCTACAACACCTACGTATCTCAGGACCTATAAACAGACACAACACGACACAGTTTGGAGTGAGTTCTTTTGTGCGTTTGGTGTTTTGAAGAATGAGTTTTGTTTAGACTTTAGAGGGCACTATACTTACTTCCCCTGATGCTTCAGCTTCTTGTCTTTGTTTGGATAATTCTTCATCAAACTGAGGTAGCTTTTGCATGAACTCTTCTGCTGATGCACAAGCCTGTGATCAACAATGGTATCAAGTACATTATTGTTAAAAGGGATTAAACTTTATTGGTGAATGAAATTAGTTGTGTGGATTATACGGAGACTTACTTGTAGAGGCTTTGGCACAAGATTTTGAACTGGAAGGCCGTCAAGATCCAGTTTTAGTCCTGATTCTCTGGCAAGAATTGTCACCTGAGATACAGGAAGATTTCAAATTATTAAAAATGGTCGAACACAAGGTGCTTTGACTCGATTTGAGGACAAGAAAGAATACTTTTCTGGCGACATCTGTTCCAGATAGATCATCTCGTGGATCTGGCTCTGTGAAACCTGCCTGCTTCGCTTCTGCTACAACTTCACTGAAGCTTCTGGTGCCGACGAAATTGTTGAAAAGGTAACTTAGAGTACCACTGCAGAAAGGCATCAAAGCAAAAATTTAGTGTGAAGGTGCAAAGACTTAGCCATCCCATTCTTGTGTCGTTAGCTGAATAAATTGCTGAGATACCTGAAAATTCCCTCAATCCTCAGTATTTTATCCCCGGTTTCAAGAAGACCACGTAATGTGCTGATAATAGGAAGACCAGCTCCAACTGTTGCTTCATAGAAGTAATGTGTGTACGATTTTCTTTGAAGATCTCTAATCTTTAGATACTGCATTCACAGAGGGGAGAGTGTTTATCGACTAGTCTCTCTGTTCTTAGAATCATGGAACCTCAACGGATACATAATTAAGAAGCTTCCTATTCAATAGTCATTTAAGCAAATATCAAACCCTTTTACCTGATCAAGTGGTCCTGAGTTAGCCTTTTTGTTTGGGGTGACCACGTGAATTCCTCGCAGCAACCAGTCGTAGTAACAGCTAGCGATATCAGCATCAGCCGTACAATCAACCATAACAGCGTTTGGAATGAAATGATTTCCCTTTACACATTGGGTGAACTTCTCCATGTTAGCCGACTCTCCCTCTTCTTTCATAAGTTCTCTCCATCTTGATAAGTCGATTCCCCTAAAAGATGATGATTCTGTAAGGATAAAGCAGTAATGCAGTTCATGTAGAAAGTACTCCATCAAGTTTATCGACTTACGATTCACTCAGCAACATTTTACTTGAGCCAGTGATCCCTATAACACGCAAGTCAATTTTAAACTCTTCTTTAAGCACTGCCGCCTGTGAAAAAGAAATTCAAAGATGATTCCGCTTGAGCCTCTTGATCCGTATGTAATCACGCAAATACACATCAGCTACTCACCTGATCTTTAATCTGATCAAGTAAGGTTCCACCGATTAATCCTGGACCTATGATTCCCATTGCCAAAGTGGTTCTCGAAAGGTAAAATCTTGAGTGCACTGCTCGCAATGCCCTTATGCAATCTTCACGCTTGATGACTACAGTAATATTGAACTCAGAGCAACCTTGAGCTATAGCACGGATGTTGATATTGGCCTGCAGGTATTTAGGACAAGGCACATTGGTATAAACAGAGCTTTTTAGCAGGAAACAGAAAAAGATAGGAAATGGATGATAGAACCATCATCAAATTTTTCCTTTGCAAATACTTCACTTAATTTACCTTCGCCAACGCATTGAAAAAAGTGGCAGAAACGCCAGGAGTGCTTGCCATTTTCTGGCCAACTGCTGCTAATATGCTACAATTAGGGATGATTTCAATCTGAAAAAGAACAATAACACCACAGTTTGAGAGAAAAGGCAACGCATAAACAAGAATTCAGCTGATTGGCGTTGGACATATATGCTCTTCTGCAATGGAAGTCAAAGGAATCGCTTCAAGAAATCGAATTACCTGGGAAAGGCGGCCACCGGTCAAAGCTTGACGAAATCGTGAGTTCAAAGCTTCAGAAACAGCTTTCACTTCCTTCTCAGGTACAGCAAAGCACACGGAATGCTCGCTACTAGCCTGCAGTTATTTAATTTTACTTCGAACTAAAAAAGGGAAAACATAATAACTGAAAGAAACCAGAAAGCTAAACAAGATGATCCAAATACCTGTGAGATCATAATCACATTAGCTCCAACTTCCTTGACAGCAGAAAAAATAGCACTTGCAGTGCCAGGAACACCAGCCATTCCAGTTCTGCAAAGAGAATGCAACGGTTGTATAAGAAACGCAATAAAACCCGACTGTGTAACAACAATAGCCACAATCAGCTCACCCTTCTACATTTACAAGAGCCAAATTGTCAATGGTCGCAAACCCTTTAACAGGGGCGTCTAATTTATAACCATCTTCATCTTCAATCTGCCGACAGATCATTGTTCCAGGGGCAGAGAGGTTGAAAATATTCCTTATTACAATTGGGATGTTATATTTCATCACTGGAATGATGGTCCGAGGATGTAAAACGTTTGCCCCAAAGTAAGACTGCGCAAGCATATGAACATGAACGTTAGGGTGTAGACAATGATTATGCAAAATTAGGCATTAAAACAAGTGCAAGAGTTTGAAAAATTACCATTTCCCAGGCCTCTTGATAAGAAAGAGTCTTCAGTATAACAGCTTCACTAACTGCATATGACTCATATTCCTCAGCATAACAAGAAAAATAGAAACTGAGGAGTCATGGCTTAAGAATTAGTCTTTTTTCTTGCAAATTGCAAAGCTTCCACATACCTTTTCTTGGATCTGCACTGTACACACCATCAACATCTGTCCAGATTGTGAGTTGGTGAGATCTAAAGAGAGCACCCATTATAGCTGCAGAGAAGTCACTCCCATCCCTCTTGAGAGTCGTTGGAATGTTCTGCGGCGTACTGGCTATGAATCCAGTGGCGATAATAATCTTTGCCGAGTTCAGAGAAAACCATTTCTCCAGTCTCTTTTCTGATTCCTCAAAGTCAGGATCGACTTGATTAGAGCTCGTGGGAATAACAACAAGCACATCCCTTGCATCCATCCACGTGCAGTCCAATCCACTCTACAAGCAAAACAGTCAAAAGCATATGAGAAAGATAGAACAAAAGAACTCTCCATGACCCATCATATAGGACCTTCGTACCTTTCTCACAACAGCAGCTAACATCTGAGCAGACCATAACTCTCCATGACCCACAACAAAGTCAGAGAAAGATTCTGTTGCATGACCAGCTGCAGAGAGATATAGAAGAAGGATGAATAAGATTACAGAAGAACATACACAACTCCAAATTCAATTACTTTATAGCTCAACCTGACCATATAACATATTATAACCAGTACCTATGTAAATAGCACGAAGCATTGCTTTGAGGTTGTTTATATCATCATGCAACCGAGCCAAGAAACTCGCGAGCTCGTCTCCGTCAAGCAACTCAAGAGCCGTTGCTCGGTGCTTTTCAAGAACAGCATCCAAAGCAGAGAGGTAGGAATCATCACGAGACTGTGCTCTGTGGATGAGATCATACATCATATCGGTGACCTTCGCCATTGCTGACACAACCACCAACTTCCTCTCAGATTCATCCTTGACTACAACATCGGCAACATCTTTTATCCTCTCAGAGTTTCCCACACAAGTTCCTCCGAATTTGTGAACAGCCCATGAATCTCCCTTTGGAAGGTGACCGTTCTCCACGGAGTTATCCAACTGTAAATCTATTTTGAAATACAAAAGAGAAATGCGAATCAACATCTACAAAAACCAATCACCAATTCTCCCAGATAGCAAACAAAAGCAAACGCCGGAATATCAAACCTGTGACGGCGGAACCAAGGACACGAGGACTCTGCAATTCGCTTCTCACGCAATGACCTACACAACTCGGGCGCCTCGAATTTCCGAATGAGACACGATTTGACGCGAGTCGTTTCCCATAGATGCATGGAACGCGAACCGTGAAATCTCTTGCCGCAGCCGGAGAAACAGCAACCTTAGCCAGAGAAACCACCGGCATATTCTGCAGAAGTTTTCAAATTCGATTTGGAAAAACACGAAGATTAAGTCAAAACCAGTGGATTAGTGACTGAATACAACGACGAAATGCAAAGAAAATGAAGAATGACCATACCGATGCCACGAGTAGTAAGCTCAGTCACTCACTAACGGAGGTTTTTAGAAGATAATTTCCGCCGGAGAAGAGGACACCGCCGAGATCGGAGAACAATCAAACACTGGCAATTCAGTAAATCTTGAGAAGGAAGACGACTTGTTTTGTATATATATGAATCACACAGTGGGGTACTGAAACTTTGCCTAGAACTCGATGGTCAAGTGGAACGCGACGTGTACGTGTGCAATTGCTTCTCTAACGCATCAACGGTTGATATTAATTTCGATCTTATAGGAAAATAATGTTAATAAAGAACTGATACAAAATGTGTCTATCCAAGCAACACTAGAGTCGTCAAGTAGCTTAAAACCTTTATAATAAATACATGAAATTTGGTAAAAAGAAAAAGCACATGACATTTCTGTTTTTTATATTTAGTTTGTAATCCACCAACCTATGGTTTATGATAATTTGGTTCATCCAACATATAAAAGGGACTGCAGGATCTTTTGTTGCATTTTTATTAAACATCATTTATCACACTATAGAAAGTTTCCTGTGCAACAGAGAAAATAAAACAAACAATTGTACATAGTTTTTCACTTTGTACCAACATATAGAAACTACATCAATTAACCAAATTACTTGAGAAATACTTACTCTCTTCCTAAAAAGCTAAAAAAATTCCAATTTTCCTTTATACCACGAAAATTATTTTTATATGATTTTTACTCAATATATTAGTAATTAATGTTAATAAATGATAAATTTCAAACAATATAGTTGAGAATAATTGAATTAGTTGAATTGATATTGATTAGTAGTTAGGTGAAAGTGTTTAATGAAAAAGTATAAACTTTAAGTGTTTCTAAATTTACGGAAACTACACAAAATCTTTTTATCACGAACATAAGGAATATACATTTTGTGACTATTTGCAATTTGTTTTCTATCAGAACCACACTTCACTATAAGAAATTTAGTATCATATCCATTTTTTTCATGAACAAAATGCTTTGACTTTAGACAATGGTTAAGTGATTAACCAAGTTAAAAAACGTATTACTACGGATTAAGTAAAAGGTTCACATAAACCCGGGGAGGTTCAATATTTTTTTTCTTTTGTAAAATCTTGCATTTTTGACAAAAGATATAAAGCAATTCAACCATCATAGGAAGAAATAAACTTTTATAATAATACGTTTATAAAATAACAATTGGCATGCTGAAGCTTTCAGCGAAGCAGCTCATGCGGTATATACCAGTTGGCCATTTGCACGAGTCCTTTAAAACGTCGCAGGTTCGAATCCATCTTAAACCTCCCACTTTAGTTCTTTTTCCCCGGTCACTGCTAAATCGGCCACTCGCCGGCAGCGATACCGGCACTGTAGATAAATTCATCTATAATTTTATTTTTAAAATCAAATTCACGGCCAGATCCGCCGTCATTATCATCCCGCAACCGCTCCAGTCTCGTATCACTTGTACAAGAGCCACCACCGTTGCTCCAGTCACGTTCCACTTTGAATCTCACTCTCGCTCTCCTCTGCGGTAATCTTCCACCGCTTCTATCTATAGAACTCTCAGATTTCGAATTCTTCAGCAAAGTTTCACCGCCAATGGTAACAGAATTGGAGTTTTCCCACAGTTGCTCGGATCTATTCTGTGTACAGTGCTCGAGGTAGAGGCTAGAGTCCGGGAAAGGCGGAAGCCAGGCTGGAATGGATTTCATCTCCGGCGATCGAGCCACACGTGTCAAATCTCCTCTCGACGATCCGTCGATTTCCGGTCTCGGTAATGGCTTTGCGAAAGGGATTTCAAGAGCGCAGGTGACGAAATCGGAGAGGTTACGAAGAACAGCGGATTTGATCAGGCAGTGCGATTCGGAGTCGTGCAACGTTGAGCCGCCGGGAAAACAATCGGAAGTGGCTAAAGAGATATCCTGGAGACCATTAACGACATCGAAGAGATTAACCTCCGTGCGATTAGCGGTGTTTGCGAACGACGCGGCGAGACAGGCGACGGATTGTAAGAATTTGGTGGTGATTAGGGTTAGAGTATTGAGGGCGGATGAATCGGTGGATCTGTATCCAACAGATTGGCAAATTTGACTGACGGCGATTCTGGTGAGAGAGAAGGAGAACTCCGCCGTCGTCGTCGCTGATTGGTCGGTTTCTTTAAATTTAACACAGGATTTGCGCCGTCGCTTCATTGGTATTGGAGAGTTTGAGAGGATCGAGAGGGAGAGAGAAGGAGGCGAGTTGAAATTGAAATGGTTTTGAAGACTGATTTTAAACGAACCCTAAATTCGTAGGAGGCCTCGAACCGGCGCCGCTTATAGGTTAATAATTTTTAATCAGCACGAACTAGCCACGAGTGCAATATGATGGTTCTTGACTTCTTGTTATTTATTCATCACAATAATAATTGAGAGGAAAATAGAGATCTGGTCATTCGGATATTCGATTTGAGTTTAGATTGTGTAATCAGACAAAATTTATTATATAAAACTATACAATTACATAAAACCAAACTGGCAAAATGAAACATACTACAAACATCCAAAGATTAAATAAACAAGCAAGAAATTAGAGTCCACTAAATTTTTAAAAATAAGATTTTGGTTTTTTAGATATTTTGTGAATTTTGGGGGAATAGCTGATTCAAACTAAAAAATTAAAATTAAAAACAAGATCCAATCAATATTTTAGAGGATTTGAAATTGAATCTTTTTTCGTATCAGTTTTAGTTTGAATTTTTGGATTCATATCTTACCGAGCCATTCGATGAACCACTGAATCACTTAAAAGAGTTGGCAATTGGACAATAGAAAAATAATTTTAATTTAATTTCTATAAAATTGTCAATAATATTTTTTTCTAGTTAAAAAAATTTAAATTTAAATTTTGACAGTTTATAAAAAAAAAAACTTAATGATAAGCCATGACAGATTTGAACCTTTTAAAATTATTATATTTAAGAAAATATATTTCAAGATCTTAATTAGTTTAAAATACAGCATTTGTTTTTATATAATATCAAAGGAGTAGGTGGTTGAGGCTTAGGAGGTTGAGTTATAGGAGTATGATGTTGAGAAATTTGATACTTAGGAGCAGGTTGAGGTTCAGGAGTTATAGGAGTATCATGTTGAGAAGGTTGATATTTAGGAGGTTGAGGTTTAGGACATTTGCAATGACATTCATCACCATTAACGAACCAAATTGAAAAAAAAACAACCATTCCTCATAGGACAAGTGCTTGGACATTATTTGTTGGCTCCTTCTGCAGAATTGATCATCCAAGAAGCCTCCTCATTGGCTAGACATTCTTTGCAGTCCCTAGCCTCAATTGTTTTTCTTTGATCTTCAGTTTGTTCCAGAAAAATAAAGATGTCAGATTAATCTACTAAATACTTTTACAAATTAACTATTCACACATGTTAACTATAGTTACGAACGATTGATCATATCATGGCTTAGCAGATTCCTAAAAAAATAAAGATTAAAAAAATATCATAGAAAAATTGATTTAACTTTGAATACCTGATTCTTTTTTTAGTTTATAATTCGGTAGAATCACAATAAGACATAAATTACAATTCCACACAGTTGTGTAAACTATATAGATGATACTTACAAGGGAAGGACAACAAGAGTGCCACAAGAACAGTAGTCTTAAAACAAAGGTTGGTCATAGCTAACAATGTTTCTAATTGACGCTTAGTAAGAATTAGTCTTGCGTTCATTTATATATGGGATGAATACAGAGTTTTTTGTTTTACTTTATTAAAAATTTAAAATGTACTTTATATTTTAGATTTTTCTATATAAAACAGACTTTTCAGTTATGAGTTATGACACTCATTAATAATTGTTTATCTTTTATCTTTTATGAATTCCAAAAGGCACTTATCTTTTATGAATTCCAAATTATTTTTTGTACAACATGTCACTTTTACAGGAAACATTTGTCCATAAAAGAAAAGTATAAAGATCATTATATTTTTTTCTCCAAAAATAAAATTAAAAATGGTGAAATTTTATTGTATTTTATTTAAAACAATTATATATATATATATATTTATTCGATTGTAACTTGTTCATTTATTATATTAACTAGATGAGTATCCGCGCGATGCGCGAATATTTTTTCACAAAATAATTTATTAAAAAGTGTAGCTACAATTTATTTTATCAAATTTTTAAATTTTTAAAGAATATTGAGTATTTGAATATACATACAATACATATTTACATATTATATGAATATTAACTATATATGTGATCAATGATTTATTGATAATAAAATATAAAATATATTATACCTTGTATATATATAATATATTAAATATATAGTGCAAATCAGAGAAGTATTATATAACAAAAATTAATTAGAGAAACTCTTACATAGATAGAGACGACTCTTTTTAACATGTCGCACTTGTTCACGGCATACATTTACACAATAGCAATGTCGTAATTTTATATTTTTATGAGTTTAAATAATTGAATTATAATTATAATTTATACAGCTGCATTAAATATTTTATAAATATATATATTAGAACTTTGATATCTTATTAATTTTAAACTTATTAATGGATCAAGTTTGAATAAAATAATTATCAAATAATTATTAGTTTATAAAAAAATGTTTTAAAGTCTATTATAATATTGTATAAATTTTTCTTCTAACTTCTTAAAGTTCAAAATATCAAATAATTGTTATTTTTATATTTGTATAATTGTTTTTATTAAAATATCTTATAATATTAATTAAAAATAAGAAAACACTCTTAAATATAAAACATAAATTTTGTTAATGATTTTTAAAAACTACCACAAAATAGATATTCAATAATTGTTTTTGGATATTATGTATATATTGTTATTAAAATATATTATCTAACTCTTCATATTTAATACATTAAATTTATGTATTAATTGTATTTTATATAATATGTATCATTAAAATTTAAAAAAATGACACATGTCATTTCTATAATAAACCAAAATGATGATGTGACACTCATATGGAGAGAGTTGGCCATCTTTTATAGTATAGAGTAGGTATATAACTCGTGCTATGCGCGAGTCTGTATTAATATTTTGGTTTATCTTTTTTAGTTACTATCTTTAAAATTATTAAAAATTATATATATTTATAGAAATTTTCATTTATATAAGAGAATTTAATATATAATTTGTAATTTATCCTATTTTTATTTATAAATTTTAAAAAACGATTAGGTAAAATAATAACAATGACACCTATCGAATTATCCAACTTTGACGTACATATACATTTGATTTAGAGAAATATAATCTTGCTAAGATTTTAATATTATTTTCTGTTTTCCATAGAAAATCTATAGTTCTTTTTTTCTTGAAGGTTTATGTGTTCAAATATTTAGTTTTTTTTATTAAAAGTCTTATTGATATACCACTGTATATATAATTCATGATTCATGTTGATTCACATTTAATTTTGTTAGGAAGCTGTAATGATCATGCAAAACCATTTTTTCCTTCTTCAGCATGTTTTCCAAGAGTTTTATGTTATATTTTTATTCAGTTTTTATTGTTTTATTAGTTCTTTTAATCTATTATTGTTATTATTATAACAGATTATTATGGAATAACATAATATTATTATTGCATATTCTCTTAAGTTTCTTTAATGGGCTGGTATGAAGAATCAGGTATACTATAATAAATAATATGTATGCATATTTAATAATCTTGTATATTTTAAATAATACATTAACGAACATATTAAATATGTTCATTACAGCTTTCTAACCAAATTTTCTAACCAAATTTAAAAAAACATATTATTTAATATATAATTTAAATAATTTAAATTGTTGTTGCTCCTAAATATATTATTTAAAAATATTATATATTGTATAATTTAAAAAGAATCCTAAATATATAATAATATTTTTAATAATTTATATGTTATTGCTTTTAGTTTAAAAGAATATATTATTATTATAATAGATTAAAGAACATATTATTATTATTATTATAACAGAATTATTTAATATGCAATTAATATAATATTAAATATGCAATAATAATATTAAATTATACAAGATTATTAAATATGCAATAATCTCCTGATTATTTATTTATTAATAACCAGTTATTTATTAATATGTTATTTATTATGCAATAACATAATATTGCATTAAATAATATGCAATAATTATTTAAAATATTATTATTGAATATGAATAATCATATAAAGTTACAGTAGGTTATACAAGTTTCTAAAACAAATATATTATTTAAATTTACAATGACTAATACCTTGATTGCGTCTCGTTTAAACTATAATAATATACATATTATTTTTTTACTGAACATATGATGCAATAACAATTGTTGATAACATATTACTCCAAAATTTTTTAATATACTAAGAAATATTATTTAATATGCTATTAATATATAATATAGTTCTTTTAATCTATTATTGCTATTTTTATATTAATTGTTCTTCTTTAAATATTAATATACAAAGAAATAACATTTTAATTACTTTTTATATATTTATTGTTAATTGTTAATTTTTTATTTAAATTTTAAAATTTTAAACCATATTAATATTTTCTGATTTAATAAATGGGATACTTGCAAAAATGATCTAAAATTTGATTTGAATTGCAAATCTAACCCACAAAAATCACCTTTCTAACATTTGCCATTTTGTGTCCAAACAATCCCTCATAGTTTCAGTTATTCACGAAATTGCCATTGTTTTTAATTAATTTTATTTATTTTCATAAATTCAATTGACCAACTAATCCTCATCTTCCTCATTTATTTACGAAAATGTCATCATCATCAATTCACCCAACCACCATTTTCAACCAATTTTGAAGCTTTAATGGTGGCAAAAACCCATTTTTGAGGTTGAGCTCATTATTTTCCCTTTAAGCTTCTATTCTTCCATTTCCTCTCTATTTACTTCCCAAAAACTCTATAATTTGTCTATTAAAAAGTTGAAGTTCATAAAAATTTCTATATTCCGGCGATTTGGTTGTTTGTTGCGGTTGTGCTTCTTTCATTGTGGCTAGGATCGAAGATCTTGACCAGAAAAGAAGCTAAAGGCGAGTGGTAAGTCGGATTTTCAGTCAATTTTGGTGTTTTTTAGTTCTGGGCTCCGAAAGTAGACTTCACTCGGTCCGAATGAAGTCTACTAGTC